GATCTCTTTCAGTCTTTTCTTTCTGGGGTGTGTGTGTGTGTGTCTGTGCACAAGAGGAGGGGAGGAGGGAATGGTGAAGATTGAGGGGGATAATCTTGGTTTGGGGTCTTGGATTCTTTGGGGCATCGGGGTGGAGGGCCTTTGGTTACTGTGTTCATCACACCTGTCGTGCTGTTTCTTCCGCAAGTAAGGTACAACAGTTGTTCAACGAAGATCCAAGCATCGAGACGGCACAATCAGTCGTCCAAGACCCTTGCCCTGCCCCTCAATCCGAGAAACTCAACACCCTGCACGTATCTCATTCGGAACACCTGTTCCGAGGTTACCATCGAGACGAAGACCAACGGCGAGGCAGCAACCTCAACTGGACAGGTTTCTTCATGGATTCGGTATAGGGCCCTGAGAATTGAATTTCGTTCCTCTGTGCTCGGCACACAATGTCAATAGTCACTACTCCACATTCCGCACCTTCAGCTCCGAACTGATATTCTTGCGCAAACGCTGAGCAAAACTAGACTTAACAGTCTCGAAGGGCGACTTGTTCCTCAAATGTGAGGCCTTAAACCCTGTGTCCTGAATTTGCGGAATTCATGGAGTTGACTGCGGTGTGTGAGATGTGGGTCACAGTGAATTCTGCTTGCGACCGCCATGGTACTGAAGTGGACGCCGAAAGTGTTTCGGTGGCTGCCCATAGCATGATATCTATTGGCCGACGTCAGTGATCCGCGAGATGAGCTAGGTACAACAGATGACATGTGCCTGCTGTTGTCTAGAGATCTTGGGCAGCCCTGCGAACCACCATCGTATGATATCTCACTGTGACATATGTTACCTGTGTTTAGGATGATCTTCTCAGAAAAATGCTGCTACGAGCTCCAGGGGTACTTACACAATGTCGCAGGAGGCCGTGTGTTTCTCGTCGGTGTGTCACGGTTTAGGTTTACATGTTCTAGGGGTTTTATGGTTTGCGGATTGTTTCAGACTACATCCTGTGTCGTGGGGTTTCACGTTGTCCGACGCTGCCGGGATCCGCGCCTGCATTGTGCGAGTGCGCGAGTCGAAACCCTGTGTCTTACAAACTCATTCAGCAAGCTCTAACATGGTAACTTGGTAAACAATTGCAATCCTCAGGGTTGTCACATGTACTCATACCATAAATTCCCCGACGCACTCACTAGTTTCATCATTTTGCCAAAGCATGTTCCTTCGTAAAGTCTTATCATAGAACTCTAATCTTCTCAAAGCTCGAGGAAGAGCCCATTGACAGCTTGCCGGCGCATGAGAAGGCGAGGAACCGTGAGGTGTTGTTACAAGGTGGGTTTCAGGTTTTGTGCGGCTGTTTCATCAAAGGAAGAGCGATGATTTGTCTGTGGTTGTTTAACATTCATTTCTATAATTTTCTATATACATATGTGTATATGTGTACCTCTCTCCATCTCTATCTCTGTGAGTATGTGTGTGATGCAACCGTCTTTCAATGGAAATTCCGTCGGCTCGTGATCTCTTTCAGTCTTTTCTTTCTGGTGTGTGTGTGTGTCTGTGCACAAGAGGAGGGGAGGAGGGAATGGTGAAGATTGAGGGGGACAATCTTGGTTTGGGGTCTTGGATTCTTTGGGGCATCGGGGTGGAGGGCCTTCGGTTACTGTGTTCATCACACCTGTCGTGCTGTTTCTTCCGCAAGTAAGGTACAACAGTTGTTCAACGAAGATCCAAGCATCGAGACGGCACAATCAGTCGTCCAAGACCCTTGCCCTGCCCCCCAATCCGAGAAACTCAACCGACAACTCTCCGAACCCACACCCTCCACGACATGTTCCGAGGAAGCGGATCCGCTGATGGGTGTTGCCATCGAGAAGACGATTAACGGCGAGGCAAAAACCTCAACTAGAGAGGTTTCTTCATAGATTTACTATGGGGGCCTTAGAATTGAATTTCAGTGCTCTGTGCTCGGTACACTGTGTTAATAATCCACATTCCACACCTTCATGCAGCGGATTTCTTAAGCCCTGCGGCCCGAAATTAGTTGAGGCTGATGGCAATAGAGATGGCTGACAGAAATCTGTGACTTTACTCCCTCAGCTGAAGTGCGGTATACATTCGCTTGCATACCTACAATCCGAACTGACCCAAAACTCTTCGCTAGTTTGGGCTATTGACAGGAAAGGTCCCTCGGATTCCGAAACTGAGATTTTGGGAGGTCTTCCGCGGCAAAGTTGAAGACATCGAGGTCGGCCAGAGATCTCGAGATCGACTCTATCGAATCCGGCGCGCCTGCCAGGCTTAGAAAAGCCGGTACGGCGGCTGAATAGATGGGGAGAGACAAGACATGATCTCAAGAGTTGGTGCAGAGCCTTTGGTGGCAGGGGTCGAGGGCGAGGGAGGCGTCCTGCACAGTCAGAACAGGGATTTAGAATTTGAGGTAGACTAGAGCATAGCATAATAAAGAGGCCTTAATAATGAGAATAGGCTTTTGGGGTCCGTTGTACTATAATGATAACAAGGACCCCCAAAATGGTATTGGTAATTATTTAGGCCTCTACGTTAACTCTATATTGGGATTTGCGGTGTGAGAAGTCTCAATGGTCAACGCTAGTTCCCTGTCGCTCCCTTATCCCTTTTTTTCTCATCATCCACAGAGCCACGGATGGGAAAGTGTGGTTAGGGATACATAGTGACATAGTAATGAACTGTGAAGATCAGAAGAAGGATTACCAACAACCTTTTTCCTTCTTATCGCTTCTAACCCATTGCCTGTATTCTTGCGGTCATATGACCACTATTTTGGATCCAGCTTCCATAAGACCCGCTTGATGCAGAGTTCCTCCTCAGTCGTTTGTTGGCTCAATGGAACACAGGACCCAAACAGCTTCAAAAGCAGATAGTTATACAATGCAGGTGTCAGGAACCCCAAAACCCTAAACTCAAACCCGCGAAACTAGAGAGGTACACAGACGGTGATCTGGAGCACATGGAGGAGCACGAAGTCAGATCACTTCTGCTGCTCCACGCAGGTTCGGTGACAGTCCTTGCAGGCGAGGGATTCTTTTCAACTTTGGGACTTTTGGGAGCAGAAGCTGTCCTTGGGACTGTATTTTTGAAGGCGGGCAAGTCACATCCAAAGAGCCCGGAATATGGAATATGGGGGGTGGGAATGTTCAGTCATTATGCCCCCTTCCAGTCCCAAATTCATCTACCATTGCATACCCCAGTACCTCTTTACTGATAAAGGCTCTGTATTAGCTGCCCGAAAGGGCGTTGAACATGCATACTTGTAAACTTCCAAACCCTCGCCACGAGACATCCTCCCCCGAGAAGCCTCCAGACCTAAACCCTGAGGTCCAAGGCGCTAGGCCCAAGGCCTCAAAAGGAGATCAAGCCCTGCAAAGTCGTTCCTTTCACGAGGCAGCGCCAGGGACCAGGCAGCTTCGCAACCCCAGGTGCCCTGAGGGGTCTCGAGCTTCAGGCTTCAGCCTTTGATGTAAGCTTTAAGGCTTGGCCTCAGCCATGGTCTCAACAAAAGCCATAGCTGAGGATTCTGTCCTTGGGATCATAAGGTCTACAAAGGAGCCAACTTGTTCCACTGTCGGGATTTAGGAATAGTCTTCCGAAAGTGACGCGCATAGATCTTCAGGACTTGACAGGGAATCCGGCGGCAGGCAGGCTGTTTTCCAGCTTACAACAAGTTCCTGAAGCCAGTTTGCCTGTGTTCAATTCAAGCAGCAACTTATCCGACGGACAGGTTTCTGCTCTACCACAAGACTCGAAACGGGAGCCTGAGTTTCCAGAAATCCGCTGGTGACCTCCAGTGCAGGCCGCTCTCCACGAGGAGAAGGGGAAGCAAAGCACCGAAGAGGCAGCTCGGCAGCTCTCATACCGTTGTCCTAGCTCTTTTAGAATAATCCTATACTACCCTTCGGCGAGTGCTTGGCCGTCGGACTTAGGTTGCTGATGATTCAACCGATGCTGTGGCAACGTCTTCGAAGCGACAGCGGATTCAGGTGCGAGAAGCAGAGCCTGAGAAATAAGTTTCGTCACATGCCTTTGCGAAGCATGCCTGGGACGGATGAAGCCATGGCTCATGATGCCTCCTCGCTGAGATGCTTTGCTGATTGTGAGATATGTTTGCTCAAGCTTGCCATAGTCCTGCTGCTATCGAAACTGCGTATCATGTGAAACCCTGAGCCATGCAATCCGGGCCTGAGAGGGGGTGAGCACGTGAAGCCGTATCAGCATGTGACAGACCACCATGGTTGCTCACCTTTTCCCCGTCTCCAGCGCACGCATCTGGATCAACAAGAGCAAAACCTGCTCGCCAAATGCTCGCCACCTGGAAGCTTAAGTGCTTAAGTGCCTACAGAAGAGCAGGAGCCCAAGAACGAGGAAGAGAAGAGCGCATCCGACCAGCAGCGGACCCAGACATCTGGAGAAGCTGTGGCTGAGAGTAATCCCCTGCCTTCAAGGACAATGACGGTGGAGCCAGAAGATGGCGAAGAAAACGGGATTTACAACATGCGAAGCCGCCACGATTTCGGCCGAGCTGTTGCAAGGTACTAGGGCTTTTCGTATCACCTTCAATCTGCCAGGATCTCGTCAAAAGCAACAAAGTTCATGGAGGCAAGGGGGCATCTAGCGCCATCTCGACCTGACTTCAAGCCTCCCCTTTTCCATAACTCCATAAAAGCCGGTGGCTCTGAGAAGCCTCCGCATACTGCATTCCTCGGCAGTTTGTGTCCACCTCATGGCAGGTCGTTTGGGGTCGCTCTGAAGCTCCCGTGCCGGGTACAGAGGTCCGCACCTCAGTAAGCTTACTTTGCCTCCCAAGTTGCGTTTCGACACATTCGAAAGGTGCCTCACGAAGAGGCGGTCAAAGGAGGCGCCGAGCAGACAGAGGCGAAGGCAAGCCTGCACTTTGATCTTCTTGCTCCTGTACCTGCGGATCTTGTACCTTTTGCCGGCCTGCTCGAGTCTTTAGACGACTGTGCCTGGCTCTTTCTTTCCACGCAGGAGCCCCTCGAAAAAGATTCCGAGATTCTGCCAGTGCCCGCTCCTGGCCCAGTCTGAACCTACCCTAATGCAATCTTGATCTAACGCGAGACCTTCAACTGTCACTGAGGCAGCGACGCCCTCAACTCCGACTGGCCCCAGGACAGCTCTTGCCAACCCTGCCACATGGCTTCGAATTTTGGGCTGCGTGAAGCTCTAAACCAACAAGGTAGATGAGGCTTCTATTCGTGTCGCGAAAGCGCTGTAGCTACCGTACTCCCAAGACCCTTCGTATTGCGCTGGGGTGTAGGGGGTTCGGGATCTAGGATTCGGGGCTTAGGCTTTCTAGAAGTCCCAGCCAAGAAGGTCGTTAGCTCATACTAGCTCCAAGGATCAAGTTAGCGTTAGGGTCGGAAGAAGCAGTCAGAACACCCCGGAGAGTCACTTGGTAGTTCTACTAGCATAAGCCCAAAACAGCAACCCAGATCTGATAGACTTGGAAGCAACGGCATGACGATTCCCTTCTGAACTCTTCTTTTGCGACAGTAGAGCATAAACTGACAATCCTTTCTATTTTCTGCAGCTTTACAGGGTAAGGGAACTGCATGAAGCGGCGAGGTCACACCACCGCCACTCTTGTCAATGTTATCCCCTCCAGTTTCGGCACAGACGGACAGGAACACCTGAAGTAGAAGTCGTCGTCTCCTTCGTAAACAGTACTCGTAGTCGGCGTCGTCCACACCCCGAAACCTAGGATTTATTCCTTAAGGCTTATGCTCGCTCAAGCCTCACTCGGTCAAGCCAGGAGAGTCTATCTAACCTACAAACCCCCACAGCCCCAGGCATCCCCAAGCCCGGAGGCCTGAAAGAGCCGGTTTCGGAGATTGTAATAAGAATTTGGTTTCAGGACTTATGGCGTCGTACTTGTACTATGGGGGCTGTACGAGGTTTATAAGCGTTTACAAGCGTATATATGTTTTAGGTCGGAGGTGGTGACCGGTGTTCAGGCTGCGAGTTTGGGGGCCTTGAGTCTTGGGCTGTGGTTCAGAGTTTCAATCGACATGGGTTTATCGTTTCAGGTTGTAGTCGCGCTGGGAAAGAGCAGTGTTTGCGGGGCGTGCAAGCAGATTCGGCGTTTCACAAGCACTTCCGCGGCCCAAATCGGTGTTTGAACATCACCTTCCCGTCTTGTTCTTCCTTAATCCTGCGAGCCTAAAATCCTAGCCCCGAGAAAACTGTGCACCCAAAACTGTATGCACAGGTTGCCTGCCTGTCTGGTTCGGGGACAGTCTAGGAGCTCCCGGAAAGATACTGCTTTCACTGCTACCATGGTCATGACTACTCTTGGTGCCACTGCGCGCTCAACTTCTGCGTCTATTACGTTCATTCGAATGGTTGTCTTTGCATTAAGAATGTTATCAGCACGAGGAGAACAACTATTTGTTGTGAATATCCACCACCACCACTACGACGACGACGACTACTAATCCTGCACCCCCTCCTCCTCCTACGACGAATGCTGCTGCTGCTACTACTACTACTACTGCTGCTGCTGCTGCTGCTGCTACTACTACTACTACTACTACTACTCCTGCTCCTACTCCTACTGCTACTGCTACTGCTACTGCTACTGCTACTACTGCTACTACTGCTACTGCTACTGCTACTCCTACTGCTACTGCTACTGCTACTCCACTCCTCCTTCCTCCTCCTACTACTACGCCTATTTCACTACTGCTACTGCTACTGCTGGTACTACTACTACTACTACTACTACTACGACGACGACTACGACCACCATTTATATACTGCCGTGACTTGCTTCAACGACGACGACTGCTGGATGCAAAGCCTCACACAAACTCGAGCTCTCCTTTTGCAGCCCTCAAAAGGCCAAGAGAAAATCGAAGGCATCGAAGCATGTGGCATGGTCAAAGATTCTATCGGGCAGGAAAACTCGCGGTCGAGGGTGTGAGGCCTTGTTGGTCGGCTGTGGAGCTTTGGGGTTTAGAGTCTCTCCAGAGGCGATGTCAACACACGGCCACTACCCCAGCAGCAGAAGCAGTAAACGCAACGGAAGCAGCGGCAGCCGCGACCACAACGACAAGCAACGACAACACCTCCAAGGCATACTTACTACTACGACTACTACTACTACTACTACTACACCACTACGACTACGACTACTACTACGACTACTACTACGACTACTACTACTACTACTACTACTACTACTACTACGACGACTACTACTACTGCAGTAGAGGTAGTGGTCGTGAAGGTACTCATGGTGGTGCAAGGACTGGCAGTAGCGGCAGTTGCACAACAGGCAGAGCACTTCTAGAAGCAATACGAGAGGACCTAGCGGCAGTTGCACAAGCGGTTACAGTTAGCCGGCAGGGCAACGGATCTAGGAGTAGGAAGAGCCGAAATCGAAGACATAAGGTTGTAGAGGCAGTTGTACTGAGGATTTGTGCCGCAGTAGTGAGGTACTGGTAGCAACAGAACTAGCAGTGGTAGTGGTAGTTGTCTTTGGTACAGACCAGGAGAAGTGGCAGTGCGGCAGCGGCAGCAGTAGGGTCGTACTCGTCGTCGTCTACATCGATGCCGCACTTTCTTGGCTGCAGCAACTCAATGGTAGTAGTATACAAAGACAAGTCAGTTGAAGCATTCTGAACCTATACGAACGGCTACGGAATGGACGGTAAGTTTGGCGACCGTATGAAAGCCAAGGCGGCCAAGAGGCAGCAGAAGCGAGAAGAGAAAGAAGCTCCCAGCTCCCCCGCTGGCATTGAGACCAGGGTTGCCGTTCTAAACTGGGGTTTGGGTTTGGGGCTCATCGGCCAGCAGACTGCTTTAGAGCGGTTTGGTGTTGCCGCTTCTTCTATTATTTTGCACTGGTGGGTGGGTGGGTTCTGGGTTTTTTCCTGCCGGGATCAGGCTTTAGTGCCTCTTCAGAAAGTTTCAGACGATTTGGGTGGTTACGGGACATGCACCGTCGAGATGTCCAGAACAAGTTCGTGGCTTTTCGAAAGCTTTTCGGGACAGCTGGCACGTCCTGAACAGCCATGGGATGCTTGTGGCAGGTGTCGTAAGTAGCGCCTTCTGACCTATTGACACAGACACATCGTGCAAAAGCGACAGGGCTTCGAAGGCATTTTGATTCATGGCGGAGCTTGGCTTCGCAAGGTGATCCTTTTGATGTACAGCCCTAGCAAACAGTGAAGGTTACGGCTCCAGTTAGAGCTGCTGGAACTCTGCAGGGAATCTCATGGCCGAAATCCCAGCCCAAACCCGCAACACACATCCTTCATGGCTCAAGAGTCCTAGAGGCTTCTACAGCACAGGTGCCTCCCCATCGGTGAAGGACGAGCTTCCGGAGTGGTATGAAAAGGAAAGGGAGTTGCGCCGCCCATCTGCATCTAGGTTAACCCTGCGCCAAATACCCCTCAGTCAAGGGCCCCTTATTAAGGTTCCATCTCAACTGCCAGACCCCAGAAGCCTCATTCCGAGGCCAAGCCCGTAGTTGCACGCTTAGCCCAGAGTCGGGAACTGCTTGCGCCGAGTCACGAAGTCATACGCACGCACCGCCACAAACTGAACGACACGAAAGCCCAATCTAGAGACGCTGAAACATCTGGGTCTGGAAAACTGAGCACGTAGCTCCTAGAGACTTCGCGGGTTCGGCTTAGTTGCATGCATGATCTGGGACGTTCTCGGACTCTGAAGTTTCAGCTTTGCTGCCAAAGGTTCGGGTGCTTTGAACGATGTCTGGTAGGGCGTGGTACAGGTGATGCAGCCTGGGCTGGGTTTTCCATGAGGATGGGCTGAACTTTACTTGAGGGTTTGGCCTTTCTTCGGTTTCTAAATCAGGGAGGCAGAACGCCCTACGAGTCTGCGAGCTCGGGCCGTGATGGCTTGGGTCACATCAGGATTTCGATGCAACTGCACTGTGGGTTTGGGTTGCCTTGGCTACTCATGCTGGGTGGCTGTAGACGTTTTCAGTGCGAGGAGCATCCGCGAGTACGTGCAGACTGACCGGAGTGAAAAGAACATCAGCGACAGAGTGTTCTAGCAAATTGGTCGCTGGTTCATCACTAGGATTGTGCAAATGTCCGCCTGGCTGAACGGGATGTTTGGCAGAAGAGGGACTGCCGACACAGAGGAAGCTCCCGGGTAAGCTGCCCAAAAACCAGTACGCCGCTTTGAGCTTAAGCCTTAGCAGCATAAACTCTTACGTTCCCCATTCGTATGTTCGGCCGCACAAGTCTTCAACCTAAGCTGCTGGGTTCTCTTTGAGCGCGTGCAGGGCTTGTCGAATAGTTAGCAATAGCAAGCATGGCTTGAATGGCCATAAGCGTCAACAATAATTAGCCTCGAGAATCTTCCAGACTGATGGCCCGACACAGGTGCCAAAGTGCTGGACTGTTGCAAGCTAACTCTGGAGAGCACAGGCAACATCAAGGACGGCAGTTTAGGGTTCAGGTTCTCAGATAGGCCTTTTCGCCCGCAGTCTGCCTGCAATGGTCACAGCGATGGCGTTCCCCAAGTTCTAAGACTGAACAGCCTTCGCAGTGTTGATGCTTGCGTTCCACGAGCCTCGTCGTCCTGGAGTGTAGCAAGGTTTGGGTGAGGCAAACCGACTGAAGAAAGGTCTTAAGCAAGGTTGGGGCATCACGAGATTAGAATCAATTGGAGGGAATTCTCCACCAGACACGATGTCGACGCTTTTTCCTATTCGGGGAGGAGGATTTCGTCTTCTCTGAGGTGTAGGTTTCATTTCAGGCTGTTGGATGATTTGGACCTATGCGAATTGTGGGCCCTAATGCTTGGCAAAGTATGGCGGGGATCAGAAGCGAGCATTTCGATCCGAGGAAAGGTGAGGAATGCTCAGGAAGCTGAGCCGTCTTTGCCGTCGTAGAGACGCCAGCAACCCCGTCTTCCTTTTTCAATCGAGTCTGTGATTGCTGGGGCAGCCTCCTCCAACCGGAGGGAGGGAGGGAGAGAGCAGGGCAGGGAGGCAGGGAGGGGGAGGGAGGGAGGGAGGGAGGGAGGGTACAATGCAACTCACGGAGATGGTCGGATACGAACAAACATAATCGTACGGACACTCTCGAGAATCAACACATCCAGGAGTTCAAGCAAGTGGCTGAGAAGAAGAAGGTGCTCCGGCGAAGATATCACCTAGCACAAGGAGGGTTTTGAGTTGGCTTCAAGGTG